GTTGGCGGCGAACCCAGAAAGAGAACAGCAGCAAGAAAGAAATGAGGATACGACCTTACAGCTCTGATACCATATTAGTAAACCCTAGCAGATTCTAGGTTGAAGTAGAGAAGAAGAAAGAAAAGAGAAAGAAGAAGAAGAAGAAGAAGAAGAAGAAGAAGAAGAAGAAAGAAAGGTTCGGCCAGTCTAGAAGAGAGTCAAAAATCATACTCCCCTAGCTGACCCACTTGTATTTATTCAAAAACATAGAGTTACAGAAAAAACCATTTTTTCCCTCATAGAAGATGGGACACAACTTAAACTCAGATACAATAGACCTTTCACTCTCAAGCAGATAATCCAAAATGACCAAAATACCCCTGACTTGAGCATTCTAACAGTTTTAATATCTTTTCACCAGCTTTTCTAGGTCTAGAACAGAAGCGGTACTTTTCTTCTTCATTTTCTTCTTTTATTTTAGTACTTGTTCTCATCAAGCAACATTACAAGAAACACAAGCACAAAAGTAAGTGCGGAATACATAAAACCAAAAAAACTATTTCAGAAGGGGTAGAAATTCATCGGCTTCTTATTTTTAAATTCCATCACCTAGGCGCCTAGGCGACCATGGTCGCCTAGTCTCGCCTTGGCATCTTTAAAACTATGATAGAGACTACCAATAAGACTTATGGGCCTAAAGTCTTTTGGAGTTTTAGCCTCTCTCTTTTTGGGTACTAGAGCAAGGAAGGGACCATTCGTGTCTGGTGAAATTTTCCCTTTACAGTGGAACTCAAAAAACACCTCCATCAAGTCAGCTTCTAAGATCTGCCAACAATCTTGATAAAAAGCTATAGAAAAGCCATCAAGACCCGGAGTTTTGGCTCTCTCCATTGAGAAAACTGCTTCACTAACCTCCTCTACAATGAAAGTCCTTTCAAGTAGGGCAGCTCAAGTTTCAGGCACTCTAATCCGATACAAATCTTCCAAGTTTAGGTGACTGTCACTTACAGCGGAAAAAAAATTGATTTAAAATGATCCACAAGACACTTAGAAATTTCCTCCTCCCAGTTTGTCACCCAACCTTCAATCTTAATGCTGGTAATTAGATTTTTCCTTCTTCCATTTGCCAAAGAGTGAAAGAATTTTGTATTACCATCTCCTTCCAAGAGCCATTTACATCTTGAATTTTGTCTCCAAGAGATTTCTTCCTTCCTTAGGATCCCTTCTAGTTCTACTTTTAAGTTCCACCTCTCTGTTCTATCCTCCTGACTACATTCTTTTCTAGCCTCCTTTTGATCAAGCTCCTCTGTCCTTTTCAAGATTCTTTCATTTAACTCCTCCCCCATTTTGAATCAAATATTGTTCATGAACACCTAATAAAATTTCACAGTTCCTTTCCACACAATCACTCTGTAAGACACGAAGAACTCTCTAGCAACCCACTCGAATTAAACTGCCCCATACTTGCTTAAGATGATCGTTCTCCAAAGTGCCTCTCACTCTAACACAAACATCCACCCCTTTTCCTTCACGAAGACACCTCCCACTTCACTAAATGAAATTTGTTTTCCCACTATCATCAAGAGATTCAGATTGGATTGGATACTTTTCAATTATTTTTCTTTGAACAATAATGGAAAATACAGATTTGAGTATTCTGGTATGTATACACAAACAAGTGATGATTTGTGCAGGTAACCTGAAATTCATGATGCTACTCAGAGTTTTGGACTAATGGGAAGTCATTCAGTAGATTACTAAGAGAGAATTTCTGGTTTTTTTTCGATAAATATTTCTGGTTTAATTTTTTATACCTGGTAATTATAACCACTCTCAAAAAATCCACTTTTCTTCACTTGGTTTGGCCCAATTATGACAGCTTTGATGTTTTCTGGGTATGAAACACTAGTTGGCATGATTTTTTGTTGAGTTAAAGGTGCTGTATCAGCATTAGTTTCTTAAATGTGGAAGTTTCCTGTAAACTGATTATGAAGGTGTTAGTGTTGCTACCTTTGAATTATATTTACTTTAGTACAGACATATCTGCTGATAATTTGACCTTTGGCAGGCATTTGCCTAGAGTAACATTTCAAACCATAAATGGCACCTCTGAAAGAGTTAAGGGTCATAAACATGCAGAAATAGAATCTTTCCACTAGGCAGATCTCTGTGTTCTAAAGAAACAGTAGACCATGAAAATTTTAGTTGTATCCCAAGATTGAATTCTTTAGTCTGCTTTTCCAGGAGTTGTGTGCTTATATACCACTAAGGCCTCCTCAATACCAACAAATACAAAATAAGAAAAGGCCAACAGAGGGAGAGACCTCCACCCCCCTCCAAACAACCAAAGCCCTGCTGAGATAAACACCTATATTCTGCTCTCCATCCCCTCCCCCTTCCCTGCACTCTGCACCTGCCATATTCCCAAACCTTTCATGATGGTTGTTGACTACTACACATCCTCTTTTTCTTCTTCTTTTTTGCTAATATGTGCACCTTGCCAGTTGCCTCCCCCCCTTTTCTTCCAATATCACCACCCCACACTTCATTCTCCTCATTGCTATAAAAAAGCCAAAAGCCTCCTCTCTTCCAACTGCCTAAAGTATTTTACTTCTTGTTTGTGACCCCCTGTCAAAAACCAATTCCATATCACCAAAAATTGCAACTCCTGCAACAAGGAGACAAAATCCACCTAACCAACCCCCACCAGCATTGCTTTTTGGCTCCCCCCCCCTAACTCCACAAATCTAGGATGAATAAAGCTCCACTATGCTCAGTCCACTTTTATAACAGGAGCGCAATTACTTTTGTTTCATGAAATGAACTCACCAAATGGTGTCAAAGGAAAATTACCATTGGGCACTCATCTTTGTCACAACAATGGCACATCTCTTTTTTGTAGCTATTATGAATATTGCATATAGCACATGGAAGCCCCTTTATCTTTCGTAGTTGGAGGCTGATTTTTCTTTTCTTTTTCCTTTTCCTATAATTCTTGTATGTTTTCTTCCCTCTCTCTATTAAATTTCTCATTGCTAGTTAAAAAAGTTCAGATGAAAGCTAGTTTCTTATGCAAATAAATTTAAAAAAAAAGATTTATAACCGATATTCTTGGGGATTCAGTAAATGCCATTAAGAGGACAAAAAAGTTGGGTTGGGTCCATGGAGACTGATGCATTACCAAATGAAATTGGAGATAACCTAAGCGCCTTCAGAACCACTTTCATTATATTCCTAGTAAGATGGACTTGATTCCTGCTGATCTGTGTAAAGTAGATATGCAAAGTTCTTTTTTTTTATGTTGGGATGGGGAGGTTAAGTGGTAGCCCTGTACCTATCAGGTTTTCTCTTTTGAGGATGAAAGTGCAATATACTATATGCATGTGTGCATCCTCTCAAATATTCACCACCTTTTTAATTAATACAATCCAATTTACCTTCTTCGGGAAGTGATGAACCCAATTTACAAAACAAAAATGCATGTATAATAAAAAATATCCAAGAAGACCTGACTTGGAAAACATCATACAAGGAATGAGCTTTCCACCACTAAGAAAGGTTAAACTATAATGGATGCATAGAACTTAAATTCTAGAACCTGTACTAAAGCAATTTGATGTATATATATTAACCCTTCTCACTTAAAAGAAAGCCTTCTCAGCATGTGCAGCTGGGTCCTAAATTTGGAAGTAGAGCATGAAGGGATACCATGAAGTAAAAAATAAGGAGAGAAAGACAAGAACAGATTTCTGGCCACTCCAAGGTTGAAGTTATTTTGTAAAGCCCAATGAGGTCTGCCACCATTCGGAACATATTGGGGAACCCAACAGGAAGCTGATATACATAAAGCAAGACAATGTTGAAACCTGCATACAATAGAAGAGGCCTCCACCACCTTCAAACCCATAGATGTAAGTGTAAGTCATCAAAATGACCAAAATCAGATTGGAACAATAAATACAAACACTGACAAGGAAAAAAATTTTCTACTAGCAGGTAAAAAGGAAAGAAGGGATTTCAAAGAACTTACCTAAAAAGGCCAAGAAAGTTGCTTGTTAGAGACCAATCAACAAGGCCAACACAACTACAAATAAAGAATGGTAGGGAAGCCCAAGAGGGACGACTAATTCCCACTACCAGCTGAATAACAGGCAAAAATAAGCAACATGCAACTCTAAGATGAGAACCTTCAAGGAAACAAAAGAAGAAATTAAAATAAAAATGGACACGTGTTGCTGCAAAATCACTAAAAAAAATTAAAATTCAAAAAATGGACACATGTTTCTGCAAATTAAGATTAACAATGGATAAAAACCCAATCTTGGTATGCCACAATAATGGTCAAGTGAAAACAACTTGACCCTATCTAGGTAAGTTGTATATTGTTATAGCCTGACAAAATTGCAGATGTCATATCAACTCAGGAAAGCTGAACCATTTGGTAATTTTTTCCCAATTAATAAGGATATTTCTTCATTTGCATAACAGTATGGGATATTTCATAAAGGACATGCTAGACAAACTGTGGTCAATACCAGCCTCTTTACTTTAAATACTACAACAGTGAAATGTCTTCTTTCATTTTATGATCTACCACTTTGACAACTTAATAAGTTCCCAAGGTAACTGTTACTATAATTTTTGCATTCCTACTCATGGGAAAATACCACATCTTAGTCTAAAGATGAAATTCCCAAGTCCATTTGTGAAGAAATTCTAAAGAACTGCATGAATAAGCACAATAAAAAGAGAGGGGGGGACAATATAATCAGGTAAAAGATATTGAAGACTGCAACTGCTACATTAACAAACCTAAACTTTCAACACATGATGAAAAACTTCCCCAACAAGAATCTCGCCATGGAACCAGACCAAATCTATTTCCATAGATTTCAACCGTAGCAACAAAAGCCACTAATAGTTGTATGACCAAGAAGTTAATTATAGATGAAAATCTTGAGTTCTGGACACTGCAAAAAAAAAAAAGGTAATATGCACCAGAGCATTTCGTTTAAATGAAGCAAAATTTGTAATAAAAGCAATACTACCAACAACTGGAAGAAAAAAAAAACAATTCCTGATTAAAAAATAACTAGAAAATAAATTACAAAGAAAGAAAACATAAGAAAGAGCTTTCACCTAACATATCCAAGCAACTTGGCCCACCAAGCATCTGCTATACTCCATTTATCCCCCTCAATAGCCCAAATAATATAAAATATTGCTTGGGACAGTATAGCAAACAGTGAGTAGATAAGAATATACCATGATACAAGATAACGCCTCTGGAAACCAAATCCTAATCATGGAAAAATGGCAGTTGTAGTCACTCAGAATTTAGAATACAAATATAATCCAACCATAAATGACAAACAGATATGTTTCAATTATCTTGCTAATCAAGCCCAAGTGATCAACTACTGGAAGCAGCTTACCTATTTTTGTAGTAGTAAATTGAATGCCAAGAAAAGCTACCAAATCAACCAAAGAGATCAAACTCCAATTGGCTAAAGCAGCTGCATGAAATGGAAGAAGAAATTTGAAAACACAAAACAGGGGAAAAGAGATATCTGCATTTATCAGAAGCAAATTGCACATAGTGACTCTAAAGAGGGAATCCCACTAAAAGATCTAACACCGAAAATCTACAAATCACTATACCAACTCTAAAAAATAACACATTTAGCCATGAAAGAACTGGTAGTAGCAGATCCAGTTATTTTTTGAAAATTTGCCAGATTATCAATCAAGGCCTTTACCAAGTTGACCCATTAAAATGAGGTTCCTCCAGTATTTGAAAAAATAGAAAACCGGAGATCCGGCATCTAGCTACTTGCCTAGTGGCAATTATACAACAGAAGATGTAATCCCAACAAAGATTCAAGTCAATGTTTTCTGGATGGAAGGAAAGGGTTTCATCAACAGCCAGAGTAAAACCTTTACCAGATTTTATCATATTCTTTGTTTGCACTGTTTCAACAATCACAAATAGTTTAAATAGAAAACCCCTAGAGTAAAGCAAGTTGTAAATCCACATGCCATTTGCTAACCACTTGACCATATGCAACTGGTATTTGGGAGTTTTCTTTTCTCTCTTTAGTTGCAGGTGGAATCCTTCAATGGACATGGATCATTTTTTTCCAAGATTCATTCTTCTCCCCACCTAAGAAGAGAGGTTGGATAATGTGGAGATGCACCAGGATAGCAAAGTTTTGGAGACTATGAGTAGAAACTCTAGAATCTTTCAAGATAAAGCACATACAAGATCATTGAAAAAATCATCGTGAAAGCTATAAAACCCAGATATCTGTACAAGGGTGCCATATTGTGTCAGATAAATCAATTTTTAGCATAAATTTCATATCTAATACCATCTTAACGTATCCAGGCAGCATATCATGAAATCAGGTGATTGTCCCCATCAGAGAGTGGAACCACTAAGTTGAATTTTGGGGTGCAGTTTAGGTAACCGAAGGTACTCAGGCATTGAAGATTTTTTAGAGACAGTCAAGGCACAATACCTGTACTTAAAATCTATTCGAGGCCTATTGGTTATGGCAACTCAATTTGGGCTGAGGCACTAACAGCATTGCAAGGTTTAAGAATGGAAAAATCTCTCAAATATAGTAATTTTGTGTTAGAAGGCGACTCTAAGGTGGTAATCAGATGGATCAAAAACAAAAAATGAAGGTCCTTGGATGTACAGACACATCTTAATGAGTAGTGGAGCAGCTGGCTACAAAAATGGGAGTTTCAACTGGGTAAAGAGATCAGCAATGGGTTGAATGATACATTAGCTAGGCAAGGGGCTCATGGATTGAAGGTACTTTGTGAAAAGTGGCTAAATGGGGGGTGGATGGATGGGGCTAGCCTACCAAAGAAAGGATAACTGGAATACTGGATCAGCAAGTGACTTTATAGTTTTTTATTTTTTTTGAAAAAGGTAAAGTATTATTGAGAAAGAAATACACACAAGAGGCTGAGATCAGTCCCAGAACAGGCTGACTGATCTATTCAGCAATTACATAAGCCATCAAGACAAAGAAAAAAGTACATCTGACACATTATTTCTAAAATCTGCCACCACAGACAACCAAGAAATCAGCTTGCCCACTAACTTCTGGGTTAAGTCCTCCAGACTTAGAAACTTGTTACTAAACACCCTTCTGCTCCTCTCGGTCCAGATACACCAAATTACAGCACTTGGAATCATCTTCCATAAAGTCTTCTTTTTCTTGCTCAAGCCCAAGATATGCCAGCAGCATAACAGCTCTTTTACTGACCTCGGCATCACCCAACAAACCTTCAAGAAGTTGAAGAAGTGGTTCCACAGCTGAGCAGAGAATGGGCAGTGAATACACAAATGATCAAAAGATTCAGCACTGCACCCACATAAGCTGCAAGACAGGTCCAAAATCTGAAATCCCCTGCTCACAAGGTTCTCCTTGGAAAGGCATTTATTAAGAGCCATAGTCCAAACCAGGAAACTGGCTTTAGTCGGACTAATGGGATTCCACACTTGCTGAACTGGGAAATCAGGAACACCCTCCTACCAAGCATAGCAGCCAAAGATTTAACTGAAAACATCCCATCAGAATTCCACTTCCAAAGCCACTTATCCTCCGAGCTATAATCCAACTCTTGAAACTGAAGACAGGTCAGGAGATTCACTGCCTCATCCACCTCCCAATCAAAGTGACTTTGTAGTTATTTATTCTTTCGCATCAAATCAATAACATTTCAGTTACTGGTCAAAATAAAATAATCACAAACAGAATACAAATGACATGTGCATGCAAACACGCTCTGTATTTTGGAGTTGTGGCCATCTTATGCTTAACTCAAAGAAGGCTTTTCATAATAATTTGGGATTGACAAGGTTAATCTTACTATACGAGCATGGGATAGTAAGTGGAAAAAGAGAATTTGTGCACAATTTCTATCGTTTAAGTTGGTTTCTTTTTGCTTAATGGAATCTTACTAAGGAAAGTTCAAAATTTCAAGCTCACCCTCAAATACTTGGAGTAATTCCAATATTCAGGAATGAAGATTAACATGAGACTGTATGAGATAGCAGACTATAATATAGGCATTGATGAATGAGATGACACATGGTGTGTGAGAACATGTGTGAGAACATGTAATGGTGTAATGGTAAAATCTCAGGCTGGAATATGTGTGAGAACATGTGTGAGAACATCAGTGAAATATGAGAACATGTGTGAGAACATGTGTGAGAACATCAGTGAAATATGATAGGGGCCATTACTTAGTGTAATGGTAAAATCTCAGGCTGGAATGTGTGAGAACATGGGTTCAAGTCTGAGGGTTGCCACTTCATGAGAAAAAATGCCAAAGGTTAGGACCATACCCAGTCTACCCCTTCCAAGATAGAGGGCAAAGGATCCACATTATTGTTTTACTATTATTGCTACCACATTTCTATTATTTATTTCTCCCATCTAGTTCATATGCCAAGACAGGTACTGCACTTACTTATTCCACATCTTTTTGCCCATAGATTGTAGACTCTGGGGCTAATGCCCATATGACTGGTATGCCTTCACATTTATCCTCATACAAGTTAACCCCAGGGAAGGGCAAGATTACTGTTGTTGGTGGATCTCAAACCCCTATTTCAGGTCAGAGAGAGGTCAAACTCACTCACAACCTTTCTCTTGGATCCGATCTTCATGTGCCCCAGTTACACAAAATTTGTTTGTTAGTTTTCTTACAAAATCCCATAATTGCTCAGTGACCTTTTTTCCTACCCATAGTGTTTTTCAAGACCTGAGCACCGGGAAGATGATTGGAAGTGGGCATTAAGATGATGGAGTCTACCTCTTAAATGGACCTTCAGAGCATGGATTGTCAAGATAGACTGAGTTTTGTTCAAATGTGAAAATGATGTAGAGATAGTGAGAAGATATAGCCGCAAGGCTATTTTTGTACTTTTACCATCTTTTGTTGTACACATATTTTATGTACTCTTTATTTTGTACAGTAAGGGCAGATTTGTCATTTTATCTTTTTTAATATAAATATCTCCTTTAGGGTGTCAACAGCCACTTAGTGACACACCCACCGATCTGACTCTAACATGGTATCAAAGCAGGTCACAATCTGATCTGCATATAACCTCTTCATAACCCTTTTCTTTTCTACTATCTAGAGTACTCCCTGACACTATTTGGGAGGCTCTCGAGTGCTCTGGAATCCCTTATCTGAGGCTGCATTTGATCAGAACTCTACACACTTTTTCTGCACTGTTGCACCATCAGATTTCTCTTTTTTGTTGGATCTCCTTCTAGAGGCATCGGATCAAGCTGAAAATTCGGATCTAGTGTCACCTAGAGCAGATCTACGGACTCTAATTGGTTTGGTTTGGATCAGAGATTTAGAAGGGTTTTGAGCCACTTCTGAGTTCGGCATACCCTTACAGTTTCCTTTTCTGGACATCAGCTGAAAGCCTGAAAGGTACCTCTTTCTTCTGATTTGAACCCTAATCTTTGTTTAGAAGTGTGGTTTTCTTGCTCTTGTGATTCAATGGCATCAAAAATGATGGAGATTCTCCCTATTAAGTTTAATGGTACGAACTATGCACTTTGGAAATTTAATTTTCAATTTCGTGTGGAGGCAAAAGGTCTCTGGGGATATCTGGATGGATCTGTAGTTAAACCTAATGATTCAGACATTAAGGGTCTTATCAGTGGAGAATTGATAATGCGAAAATTGCATCATTTTTTTTTGGAAAAGGTGAGGTAATTTTATTCAAAAAAAGAGAACAAACAAACAGAGCTCAGGCCAAGGAAAATAGCCTGAGAACAACACAAGTTACAAGCTCCAATAGGACTGAGACCGAAATAAAAAAGGCAAGTTCAGGTCCCTGAAGCTTGCGCACTGCTCTTTGCACTAGTTCTTCAGGACTTTTAACTCTATTACAGAAAATTTTTTTTGTTCCTTTCAGTCCAAATGGACCACAAAACTGCTGCAGGAATGGTCCTCCACACTAATTTTCCTTTCTTACTTAGGCCTTTTACTTTCCAGCAGTACAGTAGCTCCTTGACCAACCTAGGCATGTTACGAAATTATAGGCTGTAAATATGTAGTATTAGCCCAATTAGGAATAGCTTGATTATAGGAATTATTCTTTCTTTGATTTTCTTCCTATTTTTGTATCTGCAAGGCTGTATGATTTTCTTCCTTTTTTGTATCTGCAAGGCTGTAGGATTTTCTTCCTTTTTAGTATCTACAAGGTTGTATATATATGTACTACTTTCTCAATAAAAAAACATCAATTTCTTCCAATTCTTGTTCTATCACAAGGCATAACCCAGCTGATGTCCATGGATTTCAGAAAGTGCTCCCACACCTGAGAGGAGATCGAGTAGTGAAGACACAAATGATCTATAGATTCTGGGAGAGAACCACAAAGACCACAAGAAAGATCCAAGATTTGAATGCCACACCTCTCAAGATTTGATCTGGAAAGGCAAATGTCAAGAGCCATTGTCCA